CACCTTTCTTCTTTAACATGTGCAGCAGAAAGTGGTATTGATATATTAAGTTCTGCAGTCATTTAAAAGAGGAAATGAAAATCATTATTAGGTGAGCCAAATTAACTTCTCTTCTGGTTTCTCTTAATACTTTATCTCCTTGAACATGTCTCCTTGAATACATTTTAGACTGCGTAGCCTTTTTTCACAATAAATGACTTTTAGTGAAAGGTAAATTTAACAGCACGTTTTACTCATTTAGCTTTTCTGCATCAGTGCATAATCCATTAGAAATAGAAGAGGGGCCCCCTTCTGTCCCTCTCAGACAGAAGCTTTCTTTCTCTCAATGAATTTAGTAGCACTTTATAAATCTTTCAGGGAAATTTGAGATTTGCTCTTTCTCTTAAACAAGCCAATGCTTTCTACTCTAAAATAAAAAAAGAAGAAAGAAAAAAAGAAATAGAAGAAACAGGCAAATACATCTCAGTGTAGCACTAAGGAGCGCACATGTCTCATGATTGTTTGGCCCTAACGTCTGAAAAGACATTGCAAGGCAGCTCTTTCTCTGGTTTAGCTTGCAGAGCCGATTGCTACCGCCTTTTAGAAGGCCCAGTTCACAGCTATGTCCCTAACTCTTTTGTAGAAGTCTGAGTTTTTCACTTTTGGCAGAATTTTCCCTCTTTTGATTACCCCAAAGAGTTAACCTGATTTTAACAAAGCTTTCTTTATTTCTGCATCTCTTCATTCTTGCTTTCCATAAATTTTTCTTTCCCATGCCCTTCTATAATGCTCAGACTTTTACTCTAAATTTTAAGTAGTTGTTCAAACAATCAAAAAGTAATTGTTACTTGGCTATTGTTTCTTCAGTTTTTCATTTTTTACCGGAATGTCACGTTTTCCTTGCCTGAGTACCTCACCATATTTTCCTGAATCTTTTTTCGGAACAAAAAGACCAAAGAAAGCTTCTGAGCCCATTCCATGCCATCCAGAGAAGGTCGTTGCTTTGTCACTAATGTTCTTCCATCAGATTCACTCTCTGGCCTTCTTATTCAGTGCTGTTGTTACAGGCTTATTTTTATTTTTCACTTTCCTTTACCAGGAATGTTCCTCTACTGTTGGATATGTTTTTCTCTCAACAGATAATTGATTTAGAAGTATAGATAGTCTAGACAAATTCTGCCAGATGGGACAAGATGACAAGAGTATGCTTTAAGAAATAATGACCAAAAGAGGACACGCTGTACACTGCTCCTTCCTGATTGATTGGGTTCATTACTGAGACCCAGCCACATGCATTAAGAAATGTTTGTACTCTGCTGTCTTAGGACTACCTTGACTTAATATGTTGAAAAACCATCTTTATTTCTAGGTACAGAGAAAAGCAAAATAGCTCAAATAAATGGACTTGCATCAGTTAAAAGCAAACAAACAACAAACAAAAGCCAAAAAAACACTCTGTATTTTCATAGTCAATAAAAAGGTAGCAAGATATTTTGAAAAATCATCAAGGAGCTAGGAGCTTTGGATATTGGTCTGGTGAGTCATTAATTCTATGTGAAACCTTAGAGATGCCACATAAACTTTCTAAGGTTCATTGTTCCCATTTCCAAAATGAAAAAAAATCCATCTGGGATATTTCCAAGTTACTTTCTATATAAGAAACTCTGTGATGCTAAATCTGACAGTAATACCACCTGCTAATAACAAACCAATAAAATATCTTGACTAGTTCATTCCTATCCAGATGAATGGGTTCAGATAATCTTTCTTTTTTATATCTAAGATCTTTGGCTAAGTATTAACTTCCCTAAGTCTCAACCATCTCATCTGTAAAATGAGGATAACAACAGTATGTATGAAACCAGGTTGTTGATGATTAAAGGAAGATCACTTATATAAAAATTAATTGTGGTCCTTCGTACTCAGGAGTGCTCTAATATTAGTTGTTTATTGTGATCTGTATCTTTTCAGAAACTCCTAAAGAGAAAAGCCAAACACAGGTTAGTATTGGTTTAATGAGGCTCAGATCTTCTAATATAATTTTTAAAAATCTGTGTTTATAGATAAGACCTATTTAATTCTATTTCTCCTTCTAAATTCAGGCTATCATTCGTAATTAATATGTCAGTCTGTAAAGAACAGAGCTGGGAAAGTAGTCTTGAGACCACAGATCAACTTTATTCTTCACTAACCTTGCATCTTAAGACTTCAACAGCCTCTCCTAGAATTTCATCTCAGACTCAGGTAGTCATTGTTTCTGTCACTTAACTAGAATTTGAAATAGATGCAGCAATGAATGATCCAACTCCTGTAATTTTCAGTCTTAAGCAGCTACTAAAGCCAATCTGTCCTTCAAAAGGAAAACCACTCCACAATCACAGAGCTTTGGTTTCCATGGCAACAACATAGGTCAATAGCTGCAGTCCCACCTGCATCAGCCTTGATTGCATTTTGCAATTTACCATCTTCTGTGCTTCCTTTTGTTTGAGTTTCTTTTGCTTAATTCTTGTCTCTGTTGGGAAAATGTCTAATAAAAAACTATAGTGTCTGACAGATTAAAATCTACTGATTTCTAATTCAATCCTGGAGAGTATTGTTTATCTCATAACTCACATTTTAAAATCAAGTCCTATAATCTCAAAATCACGACTTTGTTTCTTATATTTTATTGTAGCTTTTAAATCCTTCACTTGCAATGTCCTATGATTTTGGCAAAATTCAGTGTCTTTCCTGCCTCTAAGATTATTCTGACGTCATGGGTGTCATATTTGTTAGGACAAAATCCAAACTCCTTAACCACTGTACAAAACTCAAGCCCTGTATCCTCTGACCTTTGCTCTGAGGTACTTCCAATTTCTTGTCATTTTCCTTTAATGTACTATGTTCAAGAAGTGTTAGTCTTCTTTCAGGTTCTTGAGCTCACCTTCAGCCCTGGGACCTCACTTGCTGGCCTCTTGAAACATTTTCCCCTGGTCTCCAACTTGTCCTTCTGGTTTCAATTTAAGTGACTTTCTACAAAAAATCCTTTCCAACTCCAAATCTAGATTTTTACTTTCATTTCATCACACACTTAACTATCCTACCACCATCAGGGCACATATTAGTAGCTTTTATAAGTGTCAGAATTTCTTAGTAGTTTGTGAATCCTTTGATACCATCCTATACCACTGTTAAGTTCCCAGTTTGCTCTCATACATTATAAACATTTGATAAATATTTGTTACATGACTAAAATCCCTTTAGTCTATGTGTTTGTGAATGCCACTTGCTACATTCATGACTTTGGTGTTAGGCAGCCTCCCATCTACCCATACAGGCACCTACTAGAAGGTGCTTTTCAATCAAGATATATTTCATTCAAGTTATATCTTTCAGTCTTCAGAGGGATATAAATAATATAGATTTACTCAAAATCATTAAATACTAAAGTAAATGGTCTGATCTTTTTTTTCATGATTTATTCTTTTAACATTGTTTTTTTAAACTCAAAACAACACAGATATCCTAAGAAAATTTAAAAAGAAATAATAAACAAAAGTAAAGTAATACACCTGAAGTTATCAAACACATCATCAAGATGGTTGTCCCACAGGCCCCTGGGCCCCTTGTTATGTTTCAGAGCTCATTACTGAAAGGCAGCAAAGAGCCAGCAAGACACACTGTTATCCAAATATAAAATGACCTGGTTTCAGGCTCTGGGGATCACAGGGACAAATCTTATTGGTTTGACTCAGATCTGGAAGTTGAAAATGCAGCTACTTGGAGCATGATGTACTGATCTCACATTATTTTAGACGGATAGTTTGAATGTTGGGGCATTTTGAACTCTGTATGCAATGGATATCCTCTCTTTATCTCTGAGTTTTCTAAAACTCTACTTCTGGGTACACCCCCTGCACCTTGAGCCCAGATCACTAGTTTAACTCATGCAGAATTTAAACTGACTGAAGGACACTCGCCAGAAATAAACAGTAGATGCTGAGCTAGTCAAGTCAACTGATTCAAAAAGACATTGGAACAGGAGAGCTCGTGCATAAATGCCTAGTTCACCTAGGAAAAGACCTGAAGGAAAAGAAACTGGGAATCAAGGAAGGATTGTGGAGAACCACTACACTGAGAGTTGCATGAGAGAAAAGGACGTTTCAAGCGAGGCTAACAGAAGAAAAAGAGGCCAGAGTAGAAACTAAAGAAAAACTAAAGTGGCAGAGAGGATGAGGACAGTCACTCATGTCCTCATCGAGTGGGCTCTGTTCCTCTAAGAAGGGCACTACTTCCACCACGAGGAACCCACTTCATACAAACCCAAATACCATGAAACTGGGAGGTAGGAATTTAATATAACAATTGCAAGAAGACACAAACATCTGGTCTATAACAATGAGGATTCAGGGACCATCTCTCTTCCTTTATGATTATTTTAAAATCTCTCTTCCAAGGAGCCACTATCTTCATCTTTCCATTGGACAGAGCACATGGTTATTCTTGACATTCTGACTGGCCTAAGCAATAATGGAGGAGCTGTAAAGCAAAGCTTTCAATGGCACAAGCAAAGCTCTATTCACGATAGAGACAAATAACACAATAGAGACAAATTGGGAAGCGAAGTATATGACAGGTTGCAGTAGCTTTTCAAGTGATTCTGAGAGAAAGGTCAAAAAGCTACGTATTCGTTTTGGGTGGATGCTGGCCTCATACTCAGACTCCAGCTAGAAGTCACAGGCTGTGAACACACCTACTTCTCTGTGAGAACATAGCAAAGTTACACTATTCTTTATATTTTTTTTCCTCCTTTTGCCCACTCTCATCATCCTTTCTCTTTTAATTGTGCCGCCCGGGTTGCTTTTACTAATCACACAACACAACAATGAACTGCTGCCCTCAGTAGATATAAACAATCTTGTATCATTTTTATCTCAGAATAATTTTTACTTTCAGGATTTTAACATGAGAAAAATGTCCTAATAAAGTATGCATAGAGGAGACAAACAACTGAAGGAAAGAAAGTCAAAGAATGCCATGTATATGTGATAAAAAGAAAACGCTAAACAAGTTTCTTTTATTGTTCAGCCTCCACTTCAAGAACGGTGAAGAAGATTAGGAAAGAGAGGTTTCCAAGTGATAAAGGACTTACAATTAATTTGGAGAAGGAAATCAACGTTATAAACTAAACAAAATGTTTTCTTTTACACAGTTTTAGTATATTTTCTGGTCAAAGAGAATAAATACAGAGAAAACACTCATCCTATCTGTTGTTAACTAAAATTTATAGATTCTGACTAATCCCCTGTGCAAGGCCCCAGTCAACCTAGCCAAAATGCAGTCACATAAAGCAAAGTTTTATGTCACCCAGGAGAAAATAAGTTATTCATTTGGCATTCTGAAAAGTGAGGTGAGAGATGATAGCCAAATCCCCTAAGGGGTCAGTGTTAACCAATGTGATAAGAAAATGCCTCCTGCTTTAATCCTTACAAACAGGTAACCTGAAAAAGCCTCACATGAAGAAATAGTCTTTTTTTTTTTTTTGTATTACGCTGCTTCCCTTTCTTGCTCAAGATACTTTAAATAAACTGACTGTTTGTCTCTGCCCATGGAGCCTTTGTCTAAATCTCTAGACAGGATGCTGCAGGTTCATAAGTTACAAATAAAAGCCAGTTAAATCTTTCACACCAATTTTATTGAAATTTCATCTTTTGACACTTCATATCAAGATTTAAGAGAAGTTCTGTGAGCTACTGTTTCTTCCTTCACCAATCCACCAGGTGTCACTTTAATCTCCACTCAGAAAGTTCCAGCCACAATGGCTTTCTTTAAGCTCCCAGAGTACCACACATCCTCCCATATCTCAGGTTCTATTATATGCTGGTCTCATACCTACCTCTCTGCTTATCACAGATATGTTGACTAGCTTCTTTTCATTCTAAGTCTCAGTTTAAGTATGTCCTCAGAGAAGCCTACTATGACCATTTCATTAAAATTAAAATTCTCTTTCCTCCTCACTCCATTACTCAAAATAGAAGCATTTTTTCTTTTCAAAAATTTTTACTGATATACCCTTATCATTCAGGGGTCATCTGGGAAAGAGAAATTTTACCAGTTGGTTTTAATAGACAGAATTTAAAGAATTACCTAAATGCATGCAAACAGAATGACAAAAAGAGACAGAGAGAGAGAGAGAGAGAGAGAGAGAGAGAGAGAGAGAGAGAGAGAGAACCTTGAGGTACCATAAAGATAGTCAGCAAGGAAGTAGTTATCTTCCTAAAGTTGGGGGCTATCAGATTCTTGGAAAAAGTGCCTTGGCAGCTTGGGGAGGGCCTAGGTCTAAGGGACAGTGCTGACAGACTGGTGGTGGAGAACAGTAAGACTGGTTCTGGGGCACTAAACAATTAGAAACTGCAAAGGATTGGCGATGCTTGCTGGAATTGATCACATTCAGTTGTACGTGCCAGGGATAACAAGCAGCAGGAGCAGCAGCAAGTCTGTCTTGCTTTCTATTGCTTTTCAATCTTTCTCTAATATGAATCCACTTGGCAAAAGATAAAGGCAGTTTATAAAGCTCCAGCCTGGGCAATTCAGAGCAGTACATTAAATGGTTGGTTTAGTGATGAGATGATGGCTTCATAATGAACACAAAATTGCTTACTTATGTTTATTTGTTTATTGTCTTCTCTTTCCTACTAGACCTAGTGTTCAGATTCATACCTCTTTTTATACTTTTGCGACAATCTTTCTTCCCCACCCCTATGTGCACAGCACAACCAGTAGCCGAAAATTGCTCAATAAATATTCTATGCAAAAATGAAAGAACTTATTTGATATTCTTCAACACTAGCAAAATGCACAAATAAATTCTTTCCAATTGGACAAATATTTGGTGCCTGATATGAAGCTAAAAATGCAAGTGGGAGGCAGACCCTTTCTATTTAGCTAGCACTTTAAAATGTTATCATATGACATTAAGTAATAAAATGCACAGTGAACATCCACATGTTTAAATGTCCAAGTAGTTGAACATGGTATATCAGAAAATGAAGAGTAAATGTAGATTTGGAATGATTCAGAACACTCATGGAAAAATTGTGATCTTAGGCAGACTTAAAAGAACAGAAAAGCAAAGCTCTGGAGGAGAGCTGGGTTTGGCAGATTTGGGGATGATTCTGATGAAAGAGGGATTAGTGGCAGAAGTCATTAGAAAAGTAAATTGTAGTCAACTGTGACAAATTATGAATTGTGGAGGTTAGAACTATGAGCTATAATGTCTTTTTAAAGAAGCATATTCAAAAGTTTTCAGAAAAGGAGTACTGTGACCATTGGAATTACTTTCTAAAGATAAATCTGGCAGCATCTTTAGCCACTTTGATCAAGTGGGTTTAAATTAGAGGCAGGAAATTTACTAAGAGACTAACAAAATTCCTGAGCCAGAAAAAGATGGTGGAGATAGAAATAAAGGAGACGTAAGAGTTAGTATTTAGAGGGAAGCATCAATATAACATAGTACAGATTTAATACAAGGCAAACAGGATAGATATCTGAAATTACCCTACAGTATTACACACGAAAAGGATTAAAGATGGAGAGAACACTCAGTTTTATCAGAAAATCTTGATCATTGATGACATCAGTACTTTAAAGTTCCCAATAAATATTTCTCCTTCAACAAAGAACTCAGTATTTTGAAAAGTTATGGAAAGTCTGGAAGAATGTATATATCTTCGTCTTGAATTTTGGATGTACCAGGCATCTCAAAGTTGTAATACTCAGAGGATGTCTCGTTGTTATAGATGTGCTCCTCAAAATGGGATGACTGAGCATTTTCATATAGTTCCTTGTCACTTTCTTCCTTAGCTTTGGAAGGACATGATGTCATATTTTCATAGTGGCCTTGTATCCTTCTTTCCTTGTCAGTAGATCTGTGGTTTTTGGTTTCACCGGAGTCTTTAGGTTTCAAGCCAATAATGCGTGGACCCAAGCAGGGTGTTTTCTGATAGTCTTTTCTCTTGCTGTTCCTCCTTTGAAAAAGCTTTGGTGAGATAAACCGTGTGGGGCGATGTTTCCAGTGCCAAACACACCCAATCCCACATACCACCAAGAGTATAAGAAGGAAAATGAGCACTGAAGTGTATTCATAGCTTGTCAACATTTTGCAGAGGTTTGGTGTTGTTAATGAATTCAGGTACAGATGATTGTAATTCCTTGTAGATAATGTTGCTCAGAACTCAGTTTGGAAATTCTTTAAGGCATTATTTCTTGAGATATGAAAAAAATATTATCTTGCAAAGTCTTGATACAACTAGAAATGAGATTAGTGTAACTTTGGGAGATAACTTGGTGGGTGATGTTGTTCACATTATAACCAATATTGTATAATTACCATATCCGGGAATTTTATTTCATTCCACTTCCTTTTTTAAATCAGTAAATGACAAAATGAAGCAGAAATGGGTGGAAAATAACGGCAGAATAGAAAATTCAAGGAAAAGAAGGTTGAATACTCTTCTGCCATCCAGAAACCTGTTATAAATTTAAAACATATTAATTACTTATCCAGTATATAACATACCTAAAAATCTATCTTGTCTATCAATACAATAAATGCCTGAATTTAGTAAGGCAGCCTTTTAATGTAAAATATAACCCTAGATATTATAAGGAGAGGAAAAGAATTTGATGAATCTATTGCTACTCAAGCCTGCGTAGTTTTATCACTTACGTTTCAGCATAGTTTTTGACAATAAGAATAACAATTTTCAGAAGGTGAAAGAAAATGTGCTGATGCAAAAGGAGGAATGACAGAAGAGAATACATGTGTGACCCCTTCCCTTACCTGTCATCACTCATGTGTGACGCTATGCTTATCTCTCGTCAGACTGAGCAAATTGTGTCTTTTCCTTTTTTTTTTTTCTTTTCTTTTTCTTTTTGGTACTGGAAATTGAACTCATGACCTCTCACTTGCCAAGCAGTATTTCTTTTCTTTAATCATTTTTTCACTAATTTCACAGTAATGAGCCCATTTTCTCCTACAGCATGCTAACCTAAATGATAAACAATTGTGTGTCTTTCTACTTGGTTAAATGGTGAGCAGAGATCAGCCTTTTTCATACTCCTAGAGAATTTCATAGTACTTTGCATAAGAAAAAACATTTAATCAGTATTTATTGAATGAAGAGTTAAGTAAAAATAATTCTAAAATCCAGTATCTAATTGCTTATGTTGGTGGTTTAAAATTCAAGATAAATCTTCTAAAGAATACTATTTATATATAGAACATGAAAAGAAATCTTTGAAGTAAAACAAAATATCTTTGCAAACATCAATCTTCTTAAACCTAGCAAATAAAATTCATTTATGATAATTTTAAGGTATTTTCTGTTGATGCTTTTAAGTGTCAAGGAGGAAATATGAAGCTTTCAAAAAGGCTAAATTCTAACATGATTTTAACAAAAAAACATCATTGCTATGTATATTCAGCCTAGACTCAGAAATAGTTATTCTTAATATTGTTACTAGTGCTTATAGAATGATGATTATCATCTGAAAAATGTCACCGTCAATCATATTTAAGTGCTTATTTTGAGTCAATTTCTAACCACATATATGTGTTTAGATGATCTCATTTAACACATTTATGTGTTTAGATTATCTCATTTAACTCTATAACTCTTATATGAAGTGGGTACTATTGTTACCACCATTTTACAGATGATAAAATACATAATTGAAGTGAGTAATTTGCTTCTTTAACAACTAAGAAGTGACTAAATCATTAGTCAAGTAAAAATTTCCCCCTATTATTCTTAACAGATATATGTAAATGGCTAAAAAATATATACATCACTGTATTTGCATAGCTTGACTAGTTCTAAATTATTGTGGACTGGGAACCATATTTTATTTATCTTTGTATCATCAGCAAAAGCACTTGCCATATAATAGGTAATGTATCAAATAATACATTTAATAACTGGAGCAATCTACCTTAATCCTAGCAATTATAAGCACAAAAAAAGAAATCCCACAAACTAGTGTCCAGCTCTCAATGAGCCCTCACCTACACTCAGGAATATTTATAAATTCATTCAAGGTGAGACTATTTAAACATTAAGATTTTCAATTTGACATTTTGGATAACCAAACTGAATATTACATGCAGATAGACTTTTTTGATAAAAACACAGAGACAGACACATTAGGTCTAGACACCTTTCTTGGGACTTTGGGGAGCACACTGGGATTGAGAACTATGTACTCATAATGTAAGATTTATTACAAGGCCAAGCATGATGCTTACATTCAAGGAATAATGCCCAAATAAGTTCTACCCATTAGGACCCCACTTCCATTCTGAAACACATGCAGACCAATCTATGGTATAAAGCAATCAATTTTGTGGTGTACATTGTTACTTGTTTACATAACTTCTTGCCAGAATATTTGAAATACATTTATGAAACAATTTAAAATAATGATTGAAATTAATAAGTTTTTAGAAAGATATCATGGGTAGGCAATGGGATGGCTAACTATTACCCCTTAGGTACCTAGAGATAAAGTAATAAATAAATTGCCTTTTAAGTTTCTAACAAGAGAATTTATTTTTACTACTTATGTTGTTCTATGCAGAGTAGATATTTTAATCCATCTCTAAAATCAAAATTGTCTATGAGGTGTGTAGGGAGGTAAATGCAAAACAAACTTCTTCTAGCAAAGGAAATGTATCTTCTCTCCTTCTTCAAAATAATTGTGTAAGGAAACCTTGTCATACATAAACATAGACCTGTGGAAAACACATTTTAAGTAAAAGCCCTTCAAATACACCTTAACACGTAAATGAGTTTCACTTTGCCCGTTTGGAAGGTTCTGTTTTTATTTTGGTAAGCGCTTCTAATTAGTCACCTCGTAACTGTAGCTATTCTTTTGTCTTAAAAAATAACACAGTTTTCATCAAACTGAATTTTTAAAGTCACTTACTGCTATTCTATTGGCAAGCAAGGCAAACACACAAAAAAGCATAAGCATCGCTTTCAACTTAAATATATATTTTTTATATATTTATATATATTTCAACTTAAATAAATATTTTCCCTCTGTGACAATTTTTCTAAAAACTGTGCTCAATAAGACACAGCCATTAATGAATTAAGACGAACTTGCTGCTTGTTATGTTTTGCTATCCAAACACCTTAAAGAAGGTTTTTTCATACCTCATGATCGGTGTGCTGAGCTCTCTCTTGTTCTTTTGGTTTTGCACCAAACCAGCTTAGGTTTAAAACTTGTTCCTCTTTATCACTTTGGTCAGTAACTTCCCTCTTCATCTTCCTCCTTGCAGAATATTCTACTTGCAAGGTTTCCTGGCTGCATAGAAAGTTTTCATCAGATGCATCAAAATTAAGATAAATGGTGTAAGTTTTTAAATAAGGGCATTTGGATCTTCATTTTTAATAAGTAATAATTTTACAATAGTATCAAAGATTGTCTTCTTTTTTGAGAAATATTTGCAGCCCTCAGTTTAGAATTAATGAATGTCGTCTCATTTGCACTTCAATTTGTTTTTAAAGAGAGATTTTCAAGAACACTACAAAATAGGTTTTGGAGGTTCTTAAAAATCTATTTGTTTCTAATTTATAGAACAATTCTCATTTCAAATACTATGCTCCAATTACTCTAATTTACATTTATGCTTGCCAACTCAATGTCCTTGTTTTGGTTCTGAAAATGTTAATGTTCCTTAAAATGTATTAAATGTGGGTTTCCTAAAGTATGTTCTAAAGCACACTACTTTGAGTTATGGCAGTAGCAAAAAATTTTTGAAATAGCAATAAATTCTTGAAATGTTGCTACCTGGAGATTCATAGGTATATCAGAACATTAAAAGGTTCTTTATCTTCCTACCTTTGGAAGTAAATGGAAAAGAGACTAAAGAACATCAGAAGATTCTCAGCAGTCCTATAGGAAATAAATCAAAATATAGCCCAATAAAAAGAAATCTGTTGTTTGCTGAATAATAGTAATATGTCCTTAGCACTTAATAGATATTCTATTAAATACTCTAAATGTTGTGTTTAATGCTCAAGAAATTATGACAACAGCTCTCTCTGCAAAACACTATTAGTCCTGATTAACAGGGAAATGGAAACAGAGCAAGGTAAAACGGTCACTCACGATGTGGCTTGCAGTTTGCCCCGAATACCTGTATGCTGAACCCTATATTTGCTGCCTGCTAAACTGAATGATATATCTCCTACTAAAGCCCTTATTTAACATCATCTCGCAGAGCTTCCTGGAATACCAAACTGAGAAATATTGACTTAGACAAATTATAGATGAACTAAACAGATGAGCTGGGAAAAGTACTGGAAATAATGCATTTTACATTGTACTGAAACTGAACTGTGCAGGATTAATATTGTATAAGGCAGTTTAAAAGAGGAGGATTTAATGATTGAGATACTAATTTGGCATCAGAAAAATAGTATTATCAGGATACACTTAGCATTGACATTGTGCTAATCTACAAGGTTGCAGTGGTTGATAAGCTCCCTGAAGCACTTCTAGGCTAGTAGAAGAGGCTGATGTAACCAAAGGTCATTTCAGACGAAGGTGTAAGACTTGGAAAGGCAAAGTTACAGGCAGAGGGACAGCCAGGGCAAGGAAAAGAGGCAGTCAGCTCAGGGTCTTCGGGAAAAACGAGACCGAGGACATGCTTTGTGTAGTGAAAAGAGATAATCAACATAGAAGTGTTTTAGGCAGAGATCCCAGAGTGAAAGAAGACGCAAAATTCTGAGTCTATGAATTGGATGTGTTCCTTAGTCTTATTAGTTTATCTAATTACAATATTAGCCACCCCATAGATAACACACACACACACACACACACACACACACACACACACACGGGTGAGTGCAGCCTACATGTAGTGTTACGAATATAACATTGGTGTGAAATTATGTGATAAACTCTAGAAGTCAGGACAATCAAATACCACTCAGATTTTGCTTTTATGTAAAGAAAACTAATTTAATAACTTTGACTTTAGCTTTTATATAAATAATAGATAAATATAATATATTATATAATAATAGATAAATAAATTGGAGAAACATTGCCTGGAAATTTCTTAGAGATATTTTTAAGTAACAAAGTAATCTTTAAGTTTATAGAAAAATATATTTAAAGGAGAGGTATGTATGATTATTATTTTTATGATATAGGAATTATTTCTTGAATTGTATGTTTTCCTGATCTTTGACCTATCAATGTACATTTGTATTTTCTCCTTTTAGTTCTTTTGCAATGATGAAAACTATATGTAGGTTTCTTTCTTTAGCTTTTTCTTCTGGAGTTGGTTAAATGGTTTGGTTAGAAAAGAGTTTAAAAGGCAATGTCCTGTAGTGGAATTTGGATGGCATAACTTACTCATTTGAGGCTTCCTCTCTTACTAATTGACAATAGCCACTATTTTATTTAGGTAAGTTCCTAGCAACATAATTTTTGCAAAAAATACTTAACAATATGATTTTTAAGACAATTTAACTGAGTTGCATTAGTGATGACCGGCATACACAACTGTTTATGTATATAGATGTTATGTAAGAGCTTACATAACAGATTAATGGAATTTCTCTAGATTTTCTGTAAGGAACTGCTCCATGATAAGAGCATTATGGGAAATCTAAATTTCAGCATAAATCTTTATGTTATCTGAGACAAGTCTGATATTTAGTAGCTGGCAAATTCTTTAATTCTTTGATTGATTTGTGGGATTGAAAACCATCTAGAGCTTTAGTTGAATGAGTCACTCCCTTAAATTACCAAAATTTCTATGTGAGTGGAGTTATGAAAATTATAAAGTAAGAAAATCAAGCATCTAAAGATGAAGAGAAATGGCATAAACAGAAACATAAAAATAAAACCATTGTTGTTTTAGTTGTCATAAGGGCCAGTCCTTGTAGCAACTGGCAACTCATATCACCTGATTTTTTGAGGATGGATTTTAGTTGAAAGGATCTCAGATATTTTTAAGTGAGGGCATTCATGCCAAAATCTGAAAAAAGTCTATTTAAAAATACTTTTATAGTTTAGATTTAAAATGTCCCCCCAAAGTCTCATGTTCAGAGTTGGGACTTTTGGAAGGTGGGTGCATTGTGGGGAGTTATACTCAACATTTACCTACCAGTAAATTCACAGCTGCATGTATCATTGCAAAGTGGAGTCTGTTTTGAAGGGTAGATTCACTGGGATTGTGACCTGGAAGATTGTACTTTTACTTTGGCAAATAAAATGTACTTTACTAATCATAATAAAGTTTCATGTATGCTTTCCTTTTTATTTCAAAAAGCAAAACAGAAAAAAAGGATGGAAATGATATGGAATTTCAAAAAACAGCAGAAAATTAATATTAGTTAATATATTGCATATTGTTATCTTAGAAGTAGTTATTCAGATTACAAGAACTAGGCACAAAAATAATCAAACAATGATAGCATAAACTTTTTGATGAACTAACAGATTGATAGTATAGTTATCTATCTTGAATATATATATTTACATACATACCTTTTTATATGTTTACCAACATACATATATGTTGGTATATGGTCTACTTCTTCCTTCTCTCCTTTTCCCATCCCAATTGTTCTTTGCTTCTGAGCACTTTCCTTCCCTTTCATTATAACAATATCTGTTGTACATTTGGATCTTATTACTCTTTCAGCCATTTATTTTTTTATACTAGGGAGACAGTACAATACTTATAAATGTGAATTTATTTCATTTACAAGCATCATCTCCAGTTCTCTCCATTTACCTACAAAAGCATCAAGATTATGCTTTTTATAGCTGAGTAATCCTCTATTGTATAAAAATATTACATCTTTTTTATCCATGTGGTTAATGGGAATTTTGGTTGTTTCCAGGATGTAGCTGCTACAAATTGTGCTGTTATAAACAGGGGTGCACATATATCACTGTTGCATAATATCTTCAATTTTTCTGGAAAAATACCCTAAAGGGGAAGAGCTATATTGAATGGTACTTCCAATCCTAGTTTTTTGAGGAACTTCCACAGTGGTTGCACCAGTCTACACTCCCACCAGCAGTAGAGAAATGTTCCTTTTTCCTCACAGCCCCGCCAACACTTGTCATGGGTTGATTTCTGATCACAGCCGTTCTTTCTGGAATGAAATGAAATCTCAATGTTGTTTTAATTTGCATTTCTCGAATGACCAGTGATGTTAAATATGTCTTCATACATTTATTTGACACTTGTATTTCTTCATCTGAGAAATGTGTGTTTATTCAGATGGCCCATTTTTGGATTGGGTCTTTGAATTTTGGGGGCTTGATATTTTTCAGTTCTTTGTATGTTCTGGACAAGGGTCCTTTGTCTGAGGTATACCTGGATAAAATACTCTCCCATCCTGTGGATTTTCTTTTCACTCTGTTGTGATTTCTTTTGAAGTACAAAAGCTTTTTAATAAGAAGAGATCTTGGTTGTTGATTGTTTGATTTATTCCCTGTGCAGTTTGTGTTTTGTTCATGAACTCTTTGCCTACTCCTATGTCTTCAAGATTTCTACCTACCTTTTCTTCCAGTAGATTTAGTGTTTCTATTTTAACATTTAGATCTTTGATCCATTTTGACTTTAGTTTAGTGTATGGTGATAAAAATGTGGCTAGTATATGCTCAACAAAAATGAGTATCACTTCTTTTATAACAGATTCAATTACGTGCAGTGTCCTAAAGTGCTAGAAACAGCCCAAATGTTCATGAGCAGGAAGAATCAAGTGCAACAAATTCACACAAAAGAATACTAAACAGCAATAAAAGAACAATAAAAATAAAAACAATATGCATACCATGGATGAAATACAAGACGTGTAATTAAAGAAACTATACATAAAAGAAATCATGTACTTCCATTTTTATGAGATCAAACTCCTGTAAAGTGGATCAATGGAGGTATGATGGTAGAGGCCAGAACAGATAGGGTAAACACACTGAAAGTTTTATGCTCAAGCCTTCCTGGATGCTTAGATATATTCTGTATCTTGATCTTTGTGATAATTATATATCTTTACATAGCAATCCATTAAGTTATATGTTTAAGATTTGTGGCTCTTATGTAAATTTTTTATGGTATTGGGGATTGGACCCAGGAACTTCCATAGAATTACATCCTCATCCCTTGAAATTTTAAATTTTTTAAAAAATTTTTGAGACAGGGTCACAGGAAGTCACTGAGCTGCAAGCTGAACTTTCAGTCTGCCT